CCCACGTACAGCTGGGCCTTCCTCCAGGCTGAAAGGGAACACGCCCTGGTGAGACCTCAGCCAGAGTGAGCCTGCTGAGCGTGGTTCTACCGGCCCTTGCCTCCTCTCTGTTTGAATGGTGAGACTGTCCGTAGGAGGAGAGGGCTGGGCAGCAGGCCGCTGTGGGAAATTCCCTGACACAGGGCAGGAAGCCTGCATTAGGGACTGAGTTCCACCACTGTCCGGCTACTCAATGACCTTTGACTGTCGAATGGCTGTCTGTGCCTCAGAAACCTCAAAACTTCATAATCTATCTTCATTCAGTTTTGCTTCTAAGAATTAAACTTATACTATATGTGAAAATATTTTAGGGAATAAAAGTTTAATTATTCCACAATTGTAAGAAAGCATTATTATGGCTTTTTCTAGCAAAGATATATTTGGGAAATTACTGGAAAGGAGGAGTGATTTGAGGACATGGATGCGAGGTGAGTTCTGGGGTGAAAGTGGCCAGCCTTTAGCAGATAAAACATTTCTTTTTTTTTTTTTTTTTTTTTTGAGATGGAGTCTCACTCTGCCGCCCAGGCTGGAGTGCGGTGGCACCGTATCGGCTCACTGCAAGCTCCGTCCCCTGGGTTCAAGCAATTCTCCCGCCTCAGCCTCCCAAGTAGCTGGGATTACAGGCGCCCACAACCACACCTGGCTAATTTTTTTATATTTTTAGTAGAGACAGGGTTTCACCATGTTGGCCAGGCTGGTCTTGAACTCCTGACCTCAGGTGAGCTGCCGATCTCGGCCTCCCAAAGTCCTGGGATTACAGGCGTGAGCCACTGCGCCCGGCCCAGATGAAACCTTTCTAAAGATAAGCACCGCTATCCTGAGGAGCATCAGCTCATCCCACCGCATTCCTATGTGAGGTCAGCAGTCCAGTCCTTTCCCCATCACTTTCTGTTCAGCACCTTCAGGAGCGGGAGAAAAAAGACTCCCTGGATAGCGTTGTGGGGTCGGGAGGGGAGGTCACACTCCAGAACTTATGTGTTTATATAACTCATTTATTTATATATAGCTCAATTTATTTATTTATATGGCTCATTTAATAAAACATCAGAGCATCTGGCTTATAGCTACCAGAAGCAGACCAAGAGTCAGATGCATTGAACGCTAAAAAATGAACAATATGGTGGGCAGGCCAGGGTTGGACCAAGACCCATGATGCATAACAGGCTGCAGGGGTCACCGTCACACCCAGGTCCCAGGCACTGGGTGGGAAACAGCTGCCCAGATGTGGGAAAGCCCACGGAGCAGGGTCTACCTCCCACCAGCTTCCATTTCTGTCCCCAGAGAAGGGGGTCCACATGTCTGAACCTAGACAGACATCTGGGCATAGGTGGGACAAGAGACCAAGGGACATCTGGAGAGTTACTCACTAGCCAGGTGAGCTGCCTTCCTGCAGTCTGAAAGGCAACACACAGGAAACAGGTGAGCTAAGAACTGGAACATCTCCTACAAAGGCGACATGGAGAGCCCAACAGGGAAAGCAGAACTTACAAGATCTGCCTTGAGTTCATCTGAAAGAGTGAAAAAGGCATGAACTCCCATCCCTAAGAAAAGGAAAGACTGTGCCTAGAAAACCCACAAAAAAGTACTTTTCTGTATCTAAGAGGAAGTTCTAATCCCAGACCCAGCAGAGCCTCCACGGCTCCAGCAGTCCTCTCCGGATCCCCTCAGTCACCTGCTCTGGGCCCCAGGCCCTGGGTCTCCCCAGCCAGCTTGCCCCACAGACTCTCAGTCCCAGCTGCTGTACTTGCCAGCCTTGGCCCTGCCTTGCCGCCAGCCTTCAAAGCCCCCTCCGTTGTCCATCGCTCCTCCTCCTTAGTCCAGTGCAGATTCTCCTGTTCCTGCTACTCCTTTGTGGAACGTTCTCTCATGATAAAATAGCCAGCCCCAAAGAGGAGGAGCCCCAGTATGATCAGACTCGCAGTGAAAGCTGGCTTCCAGGGAGAGGCCTGAGGGCAGCACAGCTCTGTGGCCCAGGCAGACACCCAGTCAGCAGGGAGAGGAACACCCCAGTACAGCCAGCCCAGCACCCCCAGGGATACCAGCCCCTCCCTCTGGCCCTGCTGGGAGGGAGGAGCAGTGCTGACCTAGGACGAAAATGGCCATTTCCTTCTCCAGGCCCAGGATAGGGTTGAGGATGGAGCAGGTGACTTTCCTCACAGAGCTGTCTCTCACCAACAGAGCGGCCCCCACACTGAACAGCCCTTCAGCATCTTGGGCACGGGCCTCAGAGAATACCAGGAACTTCCCTCCCCTGCTGTGTCTCCACTGACATTACTCTACCGCGCCTGGGGCTCCGGGAACCACCTCAAGGCCGTACACACCACATGGATCCCATTCTCTTCTGGCCCTTCAATGCGCACTTGAGGCACAGAGCCCATCTCTGCAGGAGGGAAGCTGTGGAGCCCAGGAAGGCCCCCTCGGGCCCTGGGACCCCAGCAGTGCCTGCGTGTTGCGCAACTCCCAGGGGAGCCATTCACATGAATTCTGGGGGTCCTATGGGAAGGCCAGCCCCTGGAGGGGGCAAGGCAGTAGCCCTGCCACGGGCACAGAAGAAAGAAGCACAGGGACCCATACAGGGGCACAGAGGTCGGGGCTCTTCTCCCCAACCACTAACACGAAAATCTGAGGCCCAGAAGAAACAGGAGGAATTTTGTCCCAGCCTTCCACCTAGCACCTCCACCCTTCTTGCCTCACACACCCTCCTGGGCATCTTTTCTCATGCCCTCTGCCTGTCTTAGTAAACCACTTCCAAAATTATATTGATTGACATCCCTGTCTCCCAAACTTCCCTTCCTTACAACCACGTCTCTGTGAGCTATCTCTCCACCACGATTTCTCACATACGCTTCCAACCCAAAATAGACCTGAAGTCATAATTTTGCTCCAGCTGTGGTAAATTGATTATAATAATATCCCCAGTTCTTCACTATTCTTTATGTCTAGCTCACCCTTTGCTGCATATGTTTTTGTGACTTCACACTCTGCCTCCAGGCTCAGTCATGTGACTTGATTTGGCAGATGAAAGTGAATGTGACTGAGCAGAGGTTTGAAAGGCACGTGCAGCATTGCTTTTGCCCTCTGTCCAGTCCACGGGAAGCCTGTTCCTGGGCGAGCCACTGGAGCGTGAGGCCCAAGAAGCATCACTGGTCACTGGTCACCCCAGCCTTTCCAGCTGAAGCTGTCCTAGGTCAGCCAACAGCCAGTTGATCACCAGAAGTGTGAATAAACCCAGCCAAAGTCCACGTGGGATCTTTTCAGCTGACCGAAGATGTATAAGTGAACCCAGTTGAAATTAGCCAAGTCGGCTGGGCGCGGTGGCTCATACCTGTAATCCCAGCACTTTGGGAGGCCAAGGTGAGTGGATCACCTGAGGTCAGGAGTTTGAGACCAGCCTGGCCAACATGGTGAAACTCTGCCTCTACTAAAAATACAAAAATTAGGCAAATGTGGTGGTACACACTTGTAATCCCAGTTACTCGGGAGGCTGAGGCACGAGTATGGCTTGAACCTGGGAGGCGGAGGTTGCAGTGAGCCAAGATTGCCCCACTGCACTCCAGCCTGGGCGACAGAGCAAGACTCTGTCTCAAAAAAAAAAAAGAAAGAAAGAAAGAAAGAAAGAAAGAAAGAAAGAAAGAAAGAAATTAGCCAAATCTAGTCCAGATTAGTTGAACTCCCTTAAATGCCCAAATTAAATACATATTTATTGCCATATGCCACTGAGATTTTATGACTGTTCATTACACAGCATCATTACAGCAACAGGTAATGGATGCACAATTAGCAATCCTCCTACACTAAACAAGAAGCCAAAGCAAACTCCTAGGAGTCTCTGCAATCCCCTCTTGCTCCTCCAAGCTCTCTGTGTCCCTAGATTTATTTACTAGGTTAAGTCTAGTTTGTAACCTCTCTGATATCTGACCCTCCTCTCCCAGCCCACTGCCCCTAGCCGCTGCCTGAGGTCAGGCAGTCATCCTCTCCACCTCAGAACTGCACCCCATGCCTCCAGTCTCATTGGCCTTGCATTCATCTTTCTCATAGCTGCCAAGAGAGTGTTCCCAGCACTGCTCTCTTTGCAAGTTCCTCAGCCCTGCATCCAAACTCCATTCCACAGTACATAAAGCCTCCACTGATCCAGAGACCGCCCTCCTCTCCAACCCGTCTCTCTCTACCTGCCCCACCCCACCAACTCCACCATCTGTGCCCTTCAGGGCCCACAGTCTCCACCCCAAGGACTATCTGGGTAACTGCTAACAGCCCCAATCACCAGGCTGTGTGCTCTCCCTGCCCTTTCGTGTTCTAGTCCATCCAGCTAAAGGACTCTCAGAACCTCATCTGGTGAGCTCATGTGCCGGCTCAGGTGTCCAGTCAGATGGCCTCCTCAGCCTGATGAGTTGAGCAGTAACAACTCTGAATCTGGGTGAGATCTTCTGACCACATGATGTGACCCAGAAATGATGTCAAAGAGACTCCCTCACTGGCCTGTGTTCCTGGCCCCAGGCCCTTCTATGAAAGACTCTCCACTTCTGTGATTCTCAGTCTCCAGCATGCGCCTGAGACACCAGGAGGGCTTGTAAAACAAATTGCTGGGCCCCACCCCAGAGCTTCTGGCTCAGCAACTTCTAAGGTGTTCCCAAGGATGCTGATGCTGTTGGCCCAGGGACCACACATTGAGAACCGCAGCTCTAACCTGGCCTGTCTCGGGACAAGCCTGAAAACTGACCAAAGAGGAAACCAACATGTGGCCTGAATCAGAACTCTAATCATTCAACCACTTCCAGGAAATCTCCCACTCCCACTCCTAAGTTTATTAGTTTTTATACCATATTTTTCTCCTCCACTGAATTACATGTGCACTTAAAACCTAGAGCCAAATGCTTCTTCATTTAAAAAACCTGCCCTCATCACTCATAGGAACCCCCAGTCATGGCAGGGTTGTTGGTTTTTTGTTTGTTTGTTTTCAGTCTCCACAGATACCAGCAAAAATTGTCAATGCAACTATATTTCAAGTCTTGATGGTAGATATTGGGAAAAATTTTCAATTAGCAATAATTGTACCTCAGATCAACCTCGTTGGTTATGACACTGCCACTGCACAAAGCTGGTCCAATCACCGCACATTAAAGAGGAAAGTTCGGCCAGGCGTGGTGGCTCATGCCTGCAATCCCAGCACTTTGGGAGGCCAAGGCGGGTGGATCACGAGGTCGGGAGATTGAGACTATCCTGGCCAACATGGTGAAACCCCGTCTCTACTAAAATACAAAAAATTAGCCGGGCGTGGTGGCGCCCGCCTGTAGTCCCAGCTACTCAGGAGGCTGAGGCCAGGGGAATCGCTTGAACCTGGGAGGCGGAGGTTGCAGTGAGCTGAGATCACGCCACTGGGCTCCAGCCTGGCGACAGAGCAAGACTCCATCTCAAAAAAAAGGAGGAAAGTTCACCTCACCCTCTACCCACTCCACGCCCTGGCCCTCTGAGGTGAGGCCTGGCAGATGGACCACAACGTGACTCTCCTGCAGGATGGCGGCAGCAGTGGGCCTTCAAAGGGCAAATTCTCACCTCCTGTGCTGCTCAACCCTGGCCCAAGCCACCATCGTCTCTACCTTTGAGGACATGGGGGGCTAGCCTCTCCTGTCTGCCCTCTCCCCACGCCCATGTCTTGATCCTGTTACCTTGTGAGCTAAACCATATCCCCACTCTGCTCAAAGCCCTTCCATGGCTCCCCTTAGTCCCCAGTGATCCACAAGCCTGACAGGGTTGACCCCACCAGTAACTCTCTGACCCCAACTCCCGCTTCTCTCCCCCTGGCTTGCTCTGCTCCAGCCGATGCTTGCCTCCGCTGTTCCCGAACACCCCAGACACAGAGCCAGCTTTGCACCGGCTGCTCCCGCTAAACCATCTTTCCCGAGATCCTCACAGCTCAGCCCCACTCCTCCAAGTCTTTGTTGCCATCTTACCGTCTAAACTGACCACCTCACTGCGCACTCTGCCTGCCCTCACCCCACCTCCCGCACCCCTGACTGCTGTGCCCCACCCAACTTCACTGTCCCATCACACTCATCACCTATGACAGACACAGCCTTACTAGTTTATCACATTTATTGCTCACTGTCTCCTGCTAGAACGTAAGCTCTGTGAAGACAGGGAGTCTCTGTCTGTTTTGTTATTAGAACAGCGCCTAACATGTAGTTGCCACCCCATAATTGTTGGGGGAATAAAATGAGTGAATGAATGATTGCTTAGGATACCAGTAAAGCAAAAAAACTAAAACTGAAAGGAAAGGGTATTTTCAAAGTTTTGATATTTGGCTTTAAAACATCAAAAAAAGTCGGCCAGGCATGGTGGCTTGGGTATGTAATCTCAGCACTTTGGGAGGCCAAAGCGGGCAGATCACCTGAGGTCAGAAGTTTGGGACCCGCCTGGCCAAATGGCAAAACCTGTCTCTACTAAAAATACAAAAATTAGCCGGGCGTGGTGGCGGGTGCCTATAATCCCAGTTACTCGGGAGGTTGAAGCAGAAGAATCATGTGAACCCAGGAGGTGGAGGTTGCAGTGAGCCAAGATTGCACCACCACACTCCAGCCTGGGTGACAGAGTGAAACTCCGCCTCAAAAAAAAAAAAAAAAAAAATCAAAAAAGTCATCATTGTGGAATTGTCAAGATTCCTTATTTTCCCTCTCTATCTGAGCTTTCAAGAAAAAGAAATTAAAATTTTTTAAAATGTATTTTATGGTTTAGTGATGCTTCTTGAATTTTAAATTACAATTAGTGGTCGGGGGACCACCATAATCTTTCTAGAGTTGGGGCCTCCAAAAATCCCCATCCGGTCCAGACAGAGAATGAGCAGAGCGCATGGTGAGTCCTGTGCACACGGTGGGAACACAGGATGGGGAGTGAGGGTGGGACATGCTCACCCGCAGACACCCAGGTGTGCAGCTGGACAAAGAGAAGCAGGGAGGTGAGACGGCAGAGCCAAGGGTAGTCAAAGCAAGTATCCATTTCTTCAGAGCCGGGGAGAGAGACAGGGAGACCTGTCTGTCTCAGGGAGACAGGGAGACAGACCAACAGGGAGCCCTGCAGCCTCATGAGGGGGAAAGTGGCTCAGAGCTGGTGTCCTGAGAGCAAAGCATCTCCTCTTGATTCATCATACCAAGGGTGTGGTGGGTCCCACACATCTCTGATACCAACAAACAGCTGACCCGGGCTCCTCCCAGCCTTTCTTGGGAGACTTTGAGGTGTCAGGGAACCAGTAGGTCTGCCTAAGAAGAACCACTTCTTCCCTTCCCGCCCCAGCTGCAACCACGGCAAAGCCTGCTCTTAGAAAACCAGGCCCTTCTCTCTCAGCACCTGGGGCTCCATGGTGGAAACCATTCCTTCATCTCTTTATCATTCACACACCCGGTGGTCACTTCCCCCAGACCCCTCCCAACAGCGCCCAGACTCAGGGCCCCGAGCCATGAAGGATGCGCCAGCTCCTGCTTGTGGTTCTGCTGCCCCCTCCTCGTGACCAGGGCATCACCCAAGACAAAGCAGAGATAAGATCCATCCTCAAGGAGGCCGCAGTGCCCATCCCAGGGGTCCAGCACCCTGTCCTGCTTTTTTTGCTCATTTATTTCACCTAAATTTGAATCCTACCCCAGCCCCCTCCTTCTGTGGGCCCAGGACACGGGCTTGCATTCAGCAGGTGCCCAGACAACTCCACACTGACAGTTTAATCTTCGCCTTCTCTATCTTTGAGGAAGATTCTACCCAAGAGGTAAAGGATCAGTGAGAGACACAGCAGCAGAGGAGACGAAGTGAGCCCTGGTCAGAGTGAAGATGCCAGAACCACCTCCTGTTTGGGAGAAGGGGGAGGAGGCAGCCTGTGGTCCTGGAAAGGACAGACCCCCAGGGCTGCCTGCTGGGGTCCCCTCCAGGCGTGGCCACTCTGTGGTCACCATGGGCAAGTTTCTTGACCTTCTCTGCCTCAGTTTCATCACCTACAAAATGGGGATAGGAATGGCATCTCCCTCCCAAGGTTGTAATGAATAGAGTTAGAACAGGACTTAGCCCTAGTAAATCCTACAGAAATATCATTAAAATCAATGAATAAAGGTGTAGCCCTCACTAAGGTTGTCTGAGTCTTCTTAGAACAAGACTGCCATCCAGCTGCTGCCTTCCCCTCACTCCAAACCCCACCTTCTCAGCCTCGTCATGTAGCCAGCTGCTCCCTGGCTTTCTCTTCTTGGCCCACAGGTGTCTTCAAAGGCAACTTACTTGTTTCGCTTTGTCCCCAGGTTGAATGGCTGTGACTTCCTGAAGTGTCTCTAAATTCAGCACTTGAGAAAGTTCAGAGCCACAAGGCTTCAGCAGACCCCAAATCTTCCCTCAGAGTCTGCACAGGCTCCTAGCTGCTCTCAGAGCCCCAAGCCTTGCTTCTGGGTCCAATGCTGGGGACCCAGGATTCCTGATATCTGAGGGGCAGAGCGTTCCCAGGAAAGCAGAGAAGAAGTCGAGTCTGGCACAGGTTACAGAGACCCCGGCCCTGGGGCCCCCACTAATCACTCCCAGCCCAGAAGAATCAATGACTCCTTCCACCGTCTGAAAGTGAAAGATTGCAAAAAGCAGCCTGGCAGGGTCTGCCCTGCCCTCTGGATCCCTGTTATCAGAAAGGAAACAAAAAGAGCAGCCAAAGGAGGGTATCCCCAGTCACTCCAAAACACCCTGCGGAGAAACCCCACTGACAGCTGAGCGGCCCACACCGCCCCACTGCCACCGCCAACCGCTGCCCCACGGGGAGCCTTCCCAAGGCCTGGAGTCATTCAGGAAATGTTATGAAAGGGCAGAAAGAAGAAAATAAAATATTATTGAATACCTATTAAGTGTAAGGAACTGGACTACGCAATTTGTATTTGTGCCACTTCATTGTCACGACTGCAAACAGATAAGAGCTGTGAGTCCTGCTGTTTAGTAAAACTAATCCGGTAACCTCCTAGGTGAGGGAGCAGCTATAGCTGCCTGGAGAGGAGACTGTCCCCCCAACACACACACATGCCCCCAGCCCTCAAACCGGCCTGGCGCCCAGCTCCAGAAGACTCAAAGTGAGAAAGGAGCGAGAAGGGACCTTGGACTCTCAGATGCTCTGACGATGACATGGCCAGGACGCTTCTCCCACCGTGAATCCCAGCCCCCTATCGGGAGGTCGGATTTTCTTCAAGAACAGGGGCAGAGCACTTGGTGAGCATGGCAGAAGGAGCTCAAAGAGCAGACCTCACTCCCTCCCCAGCTCCTCAAGATCACATTCCAGCTGCTTTAACCATAAACACCATTCACTAGGCTAAGAATGATCTTTCATGCTCAAAATATAAATTATCCTGTGCTAAAGTTAACACTTTCATTTTTAAAAGATATGTAATAACTCTTATATTTTAGTTTTTTCAAGTGCTTTCAAAATAGTTTCATATAAATGCCACAGTCATAAAAGAACAGTGAATGTAAACTACATTAAATATATTGTGAATTGAAAATATGACAGTAAAAAGGATTCAACCCCTTTTCTTCTGGGTACAATCTGGTAAACTTCGTTTGCCTTCACACTTTTAAGATGAGCAGTTTACTGGGTTATCTTCTATTGCAGAAAAAAGTTTAAAGAAGAATATTCTGACTTCTCTGGAAAAGAAAAAGAAACACACACACACACACACACACACACACACACACACACACACAGTGGTGTTTTTGTTTCAACTTTAAAATCTTTCCCTCCAATCACTAATCACCATAACCTGACTGGTGGGCTGAACTCTTAGCTGATTGCCTGTTGAGCAGGGCTCCGGTGGCCTGGCTGTGCCATCCCCTTCCCCTGGGCCTGCCCATCTGCCCCTCTGGCAGGGAAAGCCCATTCCAGGAGAGGATGTCTCTCCATAATAGAAATATCCACCCAAAGATGGCTCCGAGATGTCCTTCTGCCGCCCGCCCTCTCTGAAGAGTCAGGGTCTGCCCCAGCCTTCCCAGCCTACAGCACCATTCCTACCACCCTCTGAATGGGCAACCCACCCTGCTTCCAAACCCCAGATTCCCGGGGAGGGGAGGGAGCATCCCTGCCACCCATCCCTTGAGATATACGA